CACCAACCAAGTACTCGGTCAAGCACGAAACAGACGATAAATCAAAATGTTCATGCAAAACCTGAGGCCTCTAAAGGTTGCTGTCACCCAAATCACAAATCTCCTTGTCCACAAATTTCTCTTCTTTTCGAGAAGATATCGAGGAAATTCTGTGTGCTCTGATAAATTTGGAAAAGCTGCCCAGTTCCCGTTCACCGCTCCAGAAACTGTTTCCAAACAGCTCCAGGAAACGCCATTCAGTGTAACAGCCCAACTAAACTTGTGCTTTTTTTCTCGAGCTTCTGGACAACGGCAACCAAAAGTTTACCGTGTCGTGAGAGACGCTCTGGAGTTCTTTCGCAAGTCGTTAGCTCTTGCGCATTGCTTCCATTGACACGTTTTCTGGGTTTCAGAATCAGGAGCAGCCAAACAAGCTTTTCAGTCAAAGACGATTTTCTCAATCACAATCGCTGTGAAATGCCAAGGCTATAATGATCTGAAGAGGTCATTGACAAAGGTTTTACATATGTTTTGCAGTGAATGTTGAGTTATTCCTGAAGAATTTACAACATGCAGGCGGGAATGGCCAAACTTTTCCGACAGCCTAATGCTAAGTACATCCAATAGTGGTTCGACTACTTATTTTCTTTGGTGATGAGTTATTTATGCTCAACTACACCTGTTTTTTTGCAGATCGAGCCACCGCAACGTCCAGGATATTCCGCGCCAGTACGCAACTTACTTGTTGGGGTCAGGGAAATTGGCCTTGCACATGAGCCCACAGCAGGGGCGAGTGTCAGGACATTGAGGTGTTGCAAGCACTTGTTGGAATCCCATGTTTTGCCACGCCCCCTGGACTAACCACGGCATGTCTCGACCTCGTCTATGGGCACGACGTTGAAGGAAACGCTGAAACGTCAAGACGCTGGAATGCAAGACAAGGCAAGAAACGACCTGACTAGAGCGCTGACCAGGCACTGCAAAAGTGGGTGAACCGCACTCAACTTCATAACGAGCGTAGTTGAGGACAACAAGAAAAGTGGAACACATACTGCGAAAGGCTCTTCGGTTTACCAGTGTTCCTTCTCTCAATTATGGCGAGAAACTTGGGCTCTACGAAGTTGCAAGAGGCAAATGAACTGCGACGCTGCAACCCTAAGGTTAGAGCAGTGTCAAAGGTCAGACATTGTTCTTTATACAACGAAGCGGAACACCAACTTCCTGACACCTGATGGGGAGGAACGATGACGAAGTAGCGCGACTTTCGCGCCTGCGTCAACCTAAACATCTGTGTCCATCAAGTTGACTGTTCAATGGACAACCAAGATCCAAGATTGAGAGCAGTAAGAGAAGTTGGAGCCGGTGCAAGGTAAACGGCCAAGCTGAAAGATAGACGTCCTAGTTTATAGGTAAATACACATCTGGGCTATTGAATCAACACCGCTCTTTTCTGAAGATAACGTCAATTAGGATTTCCAAATGGGAAGTGTCAAGGATACCACTGGACAAGGAACTGCTTAAAGAATTCTCTTTCAGGTCCTTTAAGTCTACAAGGATTAGATGGAGCTGTCACTAGGATTCAAAGCAGCCATCACGTCATGTTGATAAACCGTTATTAGTAATTAAAAAGAAGTAGGACCACATGTTTCGAGAGCTGGTGTACGGGTACGTATCCAGGTAGATCGTAGAACGTGTTCTGGTGGTTTTAACGAAAGGACCATCTTGGGTGCACGTCCTAGCATCACCACGACACTAGTATGGAATGAACGCAAGATATCTTCAAGAAGGAATATGCAAGGGATATGACAGATAAACCGTCAATCGAAGAATAATCTGAGGAATAACCAGCCCCAAGGATTGGCGAGGTGAATTCTTGACGCCGCTTTCCATATTTAGGCGCTAGTCAACAACCTCAACACTTTAAAAGGTTATTGACAAAGTTTGTATCTGCCTATATAATTTGTTATGCGATCGGTTGTTCTATTGGATAGTAAGACTTTTACAATTATATGAAAATAACTCGGAATAACAATTCTTGGTAATTTTCACCAAAATAATTTTTTCTCATTTTTCACTTTTCCTCAAATAGACGCACATATGCTGATTTAGTGAAACCTGCCCTCACAACATTAAAATTTGAACTGAAGTCCAGCTGAAAAAAGTTTACCGAAAAATTTCACGGAGACTTTGAACGCTACTGTATGACAACCACAATTGGACAGTTTTTTCAAGCACCCGTTCAAACCAAGTTTTCTAGAAAATAGAAACTACATCTCCTTCACTCCAATAATAATTCGTCACACGTTTGAAAGTCAGAACGCGACTCAAACGAGTAACTATCCAGGGAAACAGTCTATTGAAAGCTGAATGTTTGAAGCTCGTGTAAAATTGTGAAATGCAACAGCATGAATAATCGTCACGACCAGCCCTTTCCGAGCAATATAATCACCTGTCGGCTGTACATGCGGGCCATGTTTTCGGTCTTCAATGAGAAGCTCCTATATTCATTAACACCTTGACGACAGCGCGGCAACTAGGTTTGCCGCGTTTTGCACGCCGCAATGGACATTGTGGCAACTATAGTTGCCACACCCTTTACATTCAGTTTTTTCTTGAACGCGCCATTTCTTCCCAGGTTTTTTGTGTTCATTTTTTAGGCCATACCACAACATAACCAAGAACCACGCGGCTTATAGAATGACCAAATATTCTTTAGTTTGGCAGAGGTTTTTCGGACCGGACGAAAATATCCGTTCAGTTCATTCCTCATTTTCTCTTCATTAACACGAACATGTAGATAAAAAAGAATATTAGAAGTGAGTACAAAGCTACTCGTGTGGCAAGATATGTGTTTTTACCGAAACAACCACGTCCAAAATAATTTTGAAATCACTAAAGCAAAAGTAAGTGAAACTTGCCTTTTCAATGCTGTAACACATCATTCGACCGCACTTTCACATGTGTACCTTCCAATAAGTTTGACACACCGATATTATTCCCTCCCCCCCCCCCCCCCCCAGTGTGAAAACATTTTGTCGCATCGAAGTATTGCGTATTTAAAGC